TATAGAACGACTCCGAACTTGTGATACTCTGGGTATTTGTACTTTTATCATCTCGCAAGAATCGGGTAACAAGAGTGCCCATGACTGCCATTTTCTAATGCTTAGTGGCAGAGACTAGCCTGAAATATTATTTTTGTATATGGTGACATTATCAAAGTATCAAATTTGACATTATTATGAATTCATTGCCGTACAAAACATCAAGTAGTTATTATTTTAATGGCTCTTTTCTTCCCACATTATGGGCATCATGCTATATTGCTGGCTTTTACCGCCTATATCGTTGATTGCAATTGTTTGTAGCTTCTTTCGTTGGGAAAGTTTTCAGATCAGAAAAATATATATATGAGATGCTTTTTATGGCCTTTCCTCTTTGTCAAGTAATAGTGATTTTGGCTGCAAGTTGGCGTCAAGCTCAAGTCCATTTCAACTCCAACATAAAACAATTTATTTTGGCGTGTTAGTAATCAAACAAGGTCATTGTCTCCTGACAAATGGCCGAGGGCAATAATGCACAAGGGAATTAATTTGGATTGGAGAGGTGCACGACATATGCCTTTTACACTTCCAATTATCACATTATTCTGTTTTTAATATTTGTGATCCAGTGAAATAATGTCTACCACCATGATAAGTAATTTCTCCAATTGAGCAAACTCAACTTTTTTCCATTCCAAACAATTATTCAATCATAATTCTATTTATGATCAATAATATGATTAATAATGTTATGAATTGTCACTCAAGAACACTTTGCATGGATTGCTAATTGACACGCTTATGTGAGTGGTTGTTTGTCGTTGATGAAAGTGAGTTATATGATCTATCAATGAATAACAACTAGCATAACTACAAGCTTAACAAACCTTAACAGTAATTCTCTAAATCCCAAATCAAATTCATTAATTTTGGACAACGCCAATTATAAACTCTCATAAGGGTAATTCTAATCTAAAAATGGTGATTCAAACTTGAATGCAATGAGCGCTCATACTGCCTTCATCAATTGGCTGAATCTAAATATGTAATAATTTGATTAGTTTGGAATCCCCAAAATAAAAAACATTTTCTATATAACATTCAATATTCCTTGAAGTTAATTCTTGCACACGCTTGCGTAGGTGAATTCTACGATATATCAACAGCTAATAACTACGGTAACTCTTCTAGTTTTGCAAAAGAGGCAAAGCTTAAAGTAGGGGTATATATTGGTTTGAAACTAATACAATTTCACCAATTCGCATCCGATCCAAAATAGATTGGATTATGATTTTTCCAATCCAATCCAATCTTATTAGAGGTTTAAATTCAATAGGATCCGATCCAATTGATATAGGATTGAATTGGATTGGATGATCGGTTTTCATAGTGAAATATGAAGTATTTATCGTCAAGTTTAATATAATCAAACATTTTAATAGACGTAAATGTAAAATATAATAAAATGTTAGAGAATTATTTTGATTTTATAATATATTAAATCACTCTATCAAATTACTTAAAATGCTTATATCTTTCTTAAGAAAAATTACCTAATGAGCAAAATAAGCATGAAATTAGATTGGATCCTCACAAGCAAATCAGTCATCCGATTCAATCATGTCGATTTTGGAAATTGGGGATCTAATCCAATTTGCCAAATCATCGAAACCGACTAAAATTGAATTGGATTAATCAATTTAGGGGGATTGAATTGGATCTTACACACCCCTAACTTTAAAAAAACAAAAAAGATAACCATAACGGTAATTCTCGAAGTTCCTAATCAAATTCATTAATTTCGGTCACCGCCGGCATTATAAACTCATAAAGCATTCCAGATTACATTTTCCACCGACGACGGAATCCCACACATTTGTTTAATTAATCTGAAGATTTATGAGTCTTTGACTCGAAGTTGACCACACCGCCCTAACTCTGGTTAGTTCCCACTCTCTCTCTCTCTCCCCCTCTCCTCTCTCTCTCTCTGCTTGCGATTTCTCGTTCTTGAAGCTCGACCATCTGCGCGCAGTTTTATCCTTCGCAGCTGCCATTTCTGCAATGTTGAGAAGAAGCTCGTCCTCCTCGCATGGCCTCTTCACTATTTTGATCCCTACGCTGCTCCTTCTCAGCTCAGATTTGCTTTTTTCACTGTCGTTCGCTGAGCCGCTCACTGAATCAGATCCCCTCCTCAACGCTAACGCCACCGAGTCCAATGTCTCCCTCTCCAAGCCAAAAGAAGGCAGCTTCGCTGACATGATCGATAAAGCTCTCGAGAACGAGTTCAAAGAAAATGATCAGAACGAAGGTTTGTAACTTCGTAGATCCGATGTTCCTCCTCTTTCTCTGCATTTGGGTTCAATTAGGGTTTTAGGTTGAAGACCAAAAAGAAAAGAGAGGAAATTTTCGAGGATCTTTGGTTTTCTTTTTGGCTAAGAAGAAAAGGCAAGAAAATTGGTTATGGGAAGATTACTTCTTGAAGAATCCATAAGATCATGTTAAGTTGTTAAAATGCAGTTATTATAGTCAACTAATACATGTTCTTAAGTTTTAACTTTGTTTATTGTTTTCCTTTGCTTGCTCGCACTTGCAGCTACTGATCCTGGAAGCTTTAACAACAGCGTAGCCGGCCAGCAGGTTGGTGTTAAGCTAATTTATCTAACATTTCTATACAGTGAATGGGCTACAGCCATAGAGAGTCATTACATCAAGATCTGATTTTGTTGAATTCAGTTTGTAAAATATTTTGAAATCCTTTCTCCAAACACTTTCTTATTGCAATTTATGCTTTTCTAGCCCAATATGTAATCTAATATTTTGATGCATTCGTAATTCATTCTCAAATTCGATATGATTGTAAACTTTTGCTAAACTTGACCTTTTACCCATCTTTCAAATCCATAAAGAATATGTTTCAGTTCGAAGGTCTGCTAAATCACAACTTTATCTCTCTTTGTGTGGATCAGGCAGTTCTGGAGACAGTTGCTAGAGTTAAGTCGAAGAAAAATGAGACAAAAGAGGAAAAGTATGCATCTTTTAACTTACACTTTTCATGTATTCTTATCACCATTAGAATAATGAGCTTCACTGTATAGCAGCCATCTTCATTATTTAAAGCCTGCTTCTCACTACTCTGTTGTAGCTTAAATAGGTCGTTTCAACTGCACGATGTTTTTAATCTGGATAATGATAATAGAGGAGAAGATACACCAACACTAATAGATCGAAAGGTAAGACTGCTTCATTGATAACATAACTGCTGTGGGTATTTACCTTCATGGTTATAAATTTAAATTTTTTTTATAATTTTGTTTAGGACAATGTCTTCATAATATCAAATTTCAAATCAAAATATCCAGTGCTGCAACTAGACTTAAGGTAAACTTGCTGGCTCATTACAGTTTTGTTAAGTTCATTGGTCATCACTTAATAGAAATGCTGATTTGAACTCTTCTACTTATTGCATTGTAGATTAATATCAGATCTGGTGGTCGTTATTGTATCTGCAACCTGTGGTGGCATTGCCTTTGCTTGTGCTGGACAACCGGTCTGATACATACATTCATACATACATACTCGTATACATATATTTCGAAGCTCAATAGAGAAAATATATAATTCTATGATCTTACTAAGCGTTCGTATTCTGCTTCCTTGATACTAAAACATTACAGGTTATTAGTGGATATTTGCTAGCTGGATCTGTTATTGGGCCTGGAGGGTTCAACTTCGTCAGTGAAATGGTTCAAGTATGTTTTACCCTACAAATTTACTATTTGCAAGAAGATTCTCTAGCAAATTTCTCTAGAGCCCTTTTGTTACAGTGGTTCCTAAGCTATGATATTGTACTCTTAGGGTTTTGGTCAGTTGATCTCGTACCACCTATCAAGATGAGTATGAAACTACAGGAAAAATATTTTAATTCATACTCATTCTTGAAAAGAAGAAACAGAACTGCCAATCATTTTAGCTAATCCTATCACTGCTAAGGCTTAGACATTTTTCACTTGTAGTCTTGTAGTATGCAATAAAAAAAATTCAGTAAGGCACATTTGCCTCTTTTACGATTAATAAATGAAATGAAACAATTACTTTATGTTAGAGATAGATCTTATTTTTGCTGAAATTTATTTGTTAATGTATTCTTCTTATATAAGATAGTTTCGTGTCTTACATCCGTCTTTGCTCTGGTTTATGTGTGCAGGTTGAAACTGTGGCTCAGTTTGGGGTAATTTTTCTTCTTTTTGCTTTGGGCTTGGAGTTCTCCACAACAAAGGTAGACTCCTCTCTCTCTCTCTCTCTCTCTCTCTCTCTCTCTCTCTCTAT